CCCCAAAACCCCAAAACCCCAAAACCCCAAAACCCCTAAAGTTATCAATAAAATTGAAAATTAGGCTAAACTAGAATTTAATTGAGTACTTGTCTGGATCATCAAATCCTTTCAACAAATCGCTTTCGAGATGCTTATCACCTCGCCTGGTTTCTATTTTTGTTCCGAAGCTATATTAAGGATGGTTTTATGAAATACCTTTGAGTCTGAGGGATTTCTTGATAACTTTTAACAACCCTTTGGGCATTTAGATTTACTTTATTACGAGTTCTATGAACAATTATACCTTAATAGTACCTTCCATGTGTTGCTAACTTCATCTGTGATTCTAATGGGACGTGAGATGATATGTTCCTGGAAGATGAAGGAAGTTGCTTCTGGATCTCTTCAGGAAGGCTCCCTGCATAAGGAGTGATATAATACTGCTCATTTCTTACCCCGTTATTGGAAGCAATGTGAGCTTCCAGTTCACCATCATAAAACTTCTTCTCAATATCAGTCTCATTGTTGTATAGGTATCTTTGATTTAGAGGAAGTTGAGTATATTTCTTGCTTCTTGTAATATTTGCATGGACGTTCGCTGCAAAGCCATTTCCTATCGGAGCGATCGTACCTGAGTATTGAGGATTCACAGGCAAGTTGTTCTCAGGTAGTTGGTATCTATCATAGCGAGAGATGGAAGTAGTGGCTAATTTTCCAGCTAAGGGAATCGTCCTCTTTGCTTTCTCCATTGGTTCATACAGCAAAGGACGAGCATACCCTCTTTTTCTGGTGTAGAGCCAATCTGGATTTTGACCAGGCTTCATTTCTGGTGGCATTGGCTTCGGTTCATATATGCTTCTAAACCTATTTGTCCCACCGTTTGGATTCTTATATGCCTTTATTCCTTGAACTGGCCGATGCATCACAGGAAGATTATGATATCGAACTTGCGAAATTGGTACTCTTCCTTCGACTCCACCTCCTGGAGTTCCATAAAATTCAGAATGATTCGGACTATAAAACTCAAATTCCCATCAACCAATCTCCAAACATAGCCAAAAATCCTAGGCCAAAATTTCATTTCTAAACCCTCAAAACACCTCTAAAACCCCTAAAATCCTTACTCAAACTCATTTACGCCCATTTTCCTATCCTCTCCATCTCTAAATCCATTAACTCTACTTGCTTACTTATCCTTATACACAACATCTTTCCTCTCTCCTCTCACAAAGTCGCCTGGGGCCTTAGCCAATTTGTCATTTCCCTTACTCAGCTGTATCAACGAGCTGGTCTTGATCTGATTGTTCGTAAATTTAGGCACCTTCTCATACCTCTGAGGGTCAAGCCTTGCTGTATTCATATTTCAATTATTATAATCACATAAGGGGTTTTGGGGTTTTGGGGTTTTGGGG